CAGCCAAACTTGGATCACGTGGACCATGGAAGATGGAATGCTGTTGTAATACGTCAGCTCGCCTCTTGATCCAGATATTGACCACCGTATCTAACACCTCGAAGTAGGCGGCGGTACCGACTCTTCGAAGGACAGTATGAATTTTGGGTGTCACCTAGGGTACGTTCATACAGAGCCACCCGATATTCACATATTCATTGGAATTGGCGGCTACGAGTAGGGCATCTAATTTCCTGTGCCAGAAGCTGCTATGTTAATACTCTCGATACGTTTAAAAGGCAAATGAGGACGTAAACATTTAGCCTTTACAGCTTAGCATGAGGTCGTTTCCTGTGCCCAGGTAAATAAGTATTTGGGAATACTTGGCGCATTACATATAGATGGTCTAAAGATTGCGTTCAAGCATGGCACAGACTGTCGCCACTCAGTGTTGATCTCATTGTCCTCTACACACACATATACACGCACATGCATAAATATCTATCTATCTATCTATCTATCTCAGTCCTTTTCATTATCTATCTATCTATATGTGTGTGTGTGTATATATATATATATATATATATATATATATACACACACACACACACACACACACATATATATATATATATATATATATATATATATATATATATATATATATATAACTTCTGTTCTCCGTCGGCTGCACAAGAATTTTACCATATTTATTTTTTTTCATAAATGCCTGATAATTTTCTTTTTTTAATCTTAGAAGTAATCTTAAAAGAAGAGTTCCTGGCATGGGTTGGGTTTAAGGGAATCCTTCAAGACATTGGGCGTCGTTGCTGAATATCTAGAATTAAGATGCTGGCAACTCAACAAAAAGTAATGCACCAAAAAGACCTCCCCAACCACTACTAATAAAAAATAAGTAAGAAAAAGAAAAAGCTCTCAAATTAAAAAAAACACACACACACACAAATTAAAAAAAAACAGACACACACAGAGACACACAGACACACACAAACAAACAAACAAACAACAATGTATATGTGGGTGCGTGTGAGTATCTATCACCCGATATATGTGTTTGTATGTGCTTGCGTAAGTAGGTGTGGATAGATGGTTATTTCAATGAATATAAATTCGTGTCCATTCATATTGGCATATACACAGGCATCCATAGAAAAATATATGTATATAAATACACATATCGACGTAGATGACCAGGCATGGACTAATGGGTATATTTTTTTTTTATCACATACCTCTCTTACTCTCTCACTCACTCACTCGCTCATTCTATCTATCTATCTATCTATCTATCTATCTATCTATCTATCTATCTATCTATCTATCTATCTATCACCGCCTGTTCTCGTCTTTTTCTTATCTTTCTTGTTTCTTTAATTCTGTCTGTTTCTAGAGCTATTAGGCATAGGGTGGAATCTATAATCTGATGCTCGTCGCGCACACACACACACACACACACACACACACACACACACACACACACACACACACAGAGAATTGTGGACTGAATTATTCGTCTCCATTGAATATTTACATATTAGGTTGGTGCAAAAATAATGACGAAGAATGTCGTTTTTGACGTTAAAAAATACGTCAAAAAACGACATTATTACGTCATTATTTTTGCACCAACTTAATATTTTCTAAGGAAATGCGAATATTTGCAAGTACATAATGAATTTACGATAAACAGTTGATTCCGTATTTAGTTTTGAATAATTCGTGAAAAATTTAGAAGTTTTGATCCATTATATTCATAGTTATATATTTTTCTAACAATTGGTGAAGTCCAAAATTATTCGCCCCAACCACTTATGGAATTTAGGAAATAATATTGTTCTCTGGTAAGTGCAATGTTTTTTTTTAATTTTTTTTTTTTGCTTAATTTGACATTTAATACAAACACACTTTGAAAAAGAAATAGTATTGACCTGATTCTATAAAATTCTAAAGGGTAATGTGCATGGAAATTGCAAGAAAACTGTATTTGGGACGTCACTGGACAATTCCAACATGACAATGACACAAAACACACGGCACAAATTGTTACAAAATACATAAATGACAGCAAAATTATGGTATTGGCATTACCCAGGACAAAGTCCTGACCCCACTGAAAATTTATGGGCACATTTGAAGAAATAATAAGCGAAAGAAGTCCATGGAGGAACTAGAAGCTATTAGCAAGGAAGAATGGAACAAAATACCTATCAGTATGTGTAGTGATCTTGCAAGAAACTATAAAAATAATCGAAAATAAAGGTTACACAATTGATTATTGAGACAAGAGGGCCAATAATTCTGTCCTATATTTTGTTTTTGTATTATTGTTTGATATTAAAATAAAAGTTTTGTTGTGGGCATCAGTGCACATAGTTTGAAATCCATTATTTCTTCATTTGTGAAAAGGCACATGAAGTTGCCAGGAAAATTTGACGTATTACAACTTTATTTGTAATTATGGAAGCGGGTGGGGGTGAATATGTTAAATGGGAGGGGCGAGGTTGAAAAAGTTTTCGCATGACGCGTTTCGAGCTTCAGGACTTCATTAGACCAGGTTTGTTGTCGCATCAACGTAAACAAACCAAGTATAGTTTTAATATATGCTATATAGGAGGCACGGTGGATTGAGGAATCGGAGAGCCGAGTTCGAATTCCAGTCGAATCCATTACATTCACTTACGTGCTAACACCCTTGGGAAAGGTGTGAATCCTCTTTCTTCTCCCTCCAGCTATGGGTAATTAGCAGAACAGACTGGGTTCTATAGCCTTGGATGGCAACTGGTCTAGGAGAAGGAAAACTCTGAATTCAAACCTGCTCTTAGAGGAGGGTGAATGGAGTCTCTCTCAGCCTTGGTTGGCAATCCATTTAGTGTTGGTGTCACGATAAAAAACACCCTTGATAGCCCTAGCGAAGCATCAAGAATTCAGCTATTTGACAAGATTATGAACTACACCAATATAAATATTGGAGAGTTCAATCTCGGCCGAGGCCGCAAGATGATGGGGTAAATAATTCTGTCCATAATTATATATATATATATATATATATATATATATATATATATATATATATATATATATATATAAAAAGGCTTAAACACTAGTACTCCATGGTCATAATTTATTACATTGGAATCGTAAATACGATTTGATTTAAGCCTTTTTATTATATCCTTACTTTGTCCTGGACATTGAGTTCTACCTGGATTCTATCCTCTTGGAATTTTTTTTACACACACATGTATTTTAATATACCTTAAAATGGAGACAGAAAATTATATGGGGCTATTGAATTGATTGATACCGACGTTTTGCCGAACTTTTTTTTTTCTTTGAAATTGCAGAAGTTCTAAAAGAAAAAAAAAACGATGTGAAGAAAAACAGTACTTACCTAATTCCATAACGGGACCAAATACTGACTCGTCGTTCACAGTACTACAGTTCCACCGACGATTCCGAAACTGATATTGGCATTCTCTTATTCCGAGTTGGGCACCACGGCCAACGCTAGGCATGTGATCGTAATAAAGTTGACAAATTCGGATTTGTCCCGGGGAAAGACCTTTGAGTGCCACACACATTGGCTGGGCTCCAACCATGTACATTTTTTGCCAGACTTCGACGCGTTGCAATCCAAGATTCCTGGAAATAAAAAAAATAAGAAATCAGTCAAAGAATCTAGTGTCTCTAGATTATAATAAAGGATATAAATCGTTAGGTATAAAACATCTCCAAACCACTTTTGACACGTTTGATTATTTGCATTATGATCTTCATTAATTGCATATGTTAAATGGGAGGGGCGAGGTTGAAAAAGTTTTCGTGTGACGCGTTTCCAGTTTCAGGACTTCATCAGACCAGGTTTGTTGTCGCATCAACGTAAACAAACCAAGTATAGTTTTAATATATGCTATATTTATGGATAAAAGTGCTCAATATCAGAGATAGAGTGTATGTAAATATAAAAGTAGACACTGATGTCAACCCCAAGTGACGACAGTCTGTTTCATGCTTAGATGCAATCGTCAGAATGACTTGAAGATTACGCTCAAACATAAAACAGACTGTTGCTGCTTGTTATTAACCTCAGTATCGACTGATCAAAACAAAATCATAAATAATTATATTGGTCATACCACAACATGCCTATCTAGACGACTCACTCATCTACCCAAAGATAGTTCAATTAGGGCTCATTGAAACATACACGGAAACTTACCAAACTCCATCCCCAATATACTAGTAGAAAATGCAGTTATAATAGACTCATCCATATAAAAAAAAAAGATTAAAAGTAATGGAAGCAGCAATAATAAAAAAAAAGCCATCACTCAATAAAATTAATTATGAACACGGCCATAATGACCGTGTTTGGAAAATAAAGCATTCCCATAACTTTAGACAAATACATAAAAACACACACATTCAGTTAAAAACAAAAAAATCATCCTTGATAATGGCCAAGAGAATAGCCGAAGGCGCTCGGATATGCAGAACTTTTGGGCAGTTTTTACACACTTTGAATCTAGAAAAGAAAAAACTTGTACGACCACAAGAAAAAATAAATAAGGAGATTAATCACAGTACCTTGTCATTTGTCTTTAGCGAAACTTGTAAATACACACACACACACACACATATATATATATATATGTATATTGTATTTTGCAGAAAGGGTAAATGAGCCAGGTGGGTTGTTACTATTTAAGCCAATGACCCCTGCACAAATAATTCGACCAAGGTGCAACCAGATAATTTAGATTAGATTTGGTTAGTTATTATTTTTTTTTGTTTTGGGGTATATCAATCTCTATAGGTTATTTAATGCCGAAATCTAAATATTTTGTACCCAATTTTATTTATTCTTAGGTGATAATGATTTAGTGATAAAAGTCCTACTGATTAATCAACAGCTTTGGGAAGAAGAGGCTATTTGCCCGTGTGTGAATATAACGAATTCAGCTGTCCGATTAACAATTCATTTCACCATCCAAGCTTAAAACACCTGGTATTTCCAAGCGATCACCCATCTATGTACTGACCAGGCTCAATGTTTCTTAACTTCCGTGATCGTACTTGAACCGGTGTTTCAACGGGTTGTGGCCGTAAGACAAATTGAGATTAGAGTTCTCTGACCTGTTTACACAGTCATACTCGCACGCGCGCACAGACACACAGACACATACACAGACACACACAGACATACATACACACACACAGACATACATACACACACACACACACACACACACACACACACATATATATATATATATATATATGGTGTATATTGGTGTATCTGTATTCAAATGTTCATTCAAACATTAAACAAAATAAGGAAAACAGACATGTTATATCTACTCTATTTTAATAATTTATTATATATATATATATAAGTTTTATATATATATATATATATATATATATATATATATATAGTTTAAGAAGTTATTTTATATATATATATGTGTGTGTGTGTGTGTGACGTCTGACGATTGCTAAACGTGAAACCCAGGGTCACAAACTCACATCTATCCAACCATATATATATATATATATATATATATATATATATATATATATATATATATATATATATTTATGGGCTAATAAAAGTGCATGTATTTGGTTTACATACACATATATGCTGGAGTATATACTCACAAACACTTAAAGCTCAAATTTTATATACATATATATTGTCTGTATGTGTGTTTGGGTTATCGGCCCCCCCCCTCACATGAACTTAATACTTCCCTCCTTAAGAAAAATTGACCCTGGATCATTTAGGGGTTAGAGGTGAAGAGTCGTAAGCGTCTTTTATGGAAGGAAGGGTATTCAACCTATGGATATATGAACAAAGTGTTGGGTCATAAATATCGTATCCTTTTGTCTACTTAGCCAGACGATAACAATGGAGCTTTCTTTTGGTTCTGCTTTCGGGGGCCCGGTCTGGATTTCAACTCGATTTAATACCCTACACCACCTGCCTCTTCCGCCCTTCTTAGTACACCGGAACATATACTCTCTGTCAATTTTCCTCACTGTGTTTCGTTAGTGTTGTTGTTATAATTCTGTTGGAGGAGTTGGGTGTGTGTTCGATTAGACTGTAGTTGTTGTTGGGGTTAAGTTCTGTTTCCCGTCTAAAGATAAATTTATTTCAGATACAGTATCTTTCGCAGGTTTTATGACTGAAGAGGCAGCAGACATGTAGGTACAAAGATAAATAGATAAATTGATAGGTACAAACGAAATTTCTCTCTCTCTCTCTCTCTCTCTCTCTCTATGTATATATATATATATATATATATATGATAGGATAGGATAAGATAAGAAACAAATAGAAAACGTTTATAGATGTATCATGTTTCGATTTTATTTAAGTTTCATCAGACCTCCCCTCGCAAATTCTGATGAAGCTTAAATAAAAGCGAAACTTGTTAAATTTATAAAGATTTTCTGTTTGTTCCTTATCCTATCATTCTGTCTAATTTTAATCCATATTTGATCGCAATTTACACACACGCTTATATATATATATATGTGTGTGTGTGCGTGTGTGTGTATGGTTGTCATTCTTGCGATACACACACGCACAGACAGATACACACACATACATATATATGTGTGTGTGTAGCTGGCATTCTGGCGATGCACACACGCACTCACAGATACACACACACGCACACGCACACATATATATATATGTTTGTCTTTGTGTGTTTATGTGCGTGTGCATTTGTGTATCAAAACAATGACAACTACTGTCTCGTAACAATGCAATGATTATGTAAGGAGATATGTCTGCCACCAGTACTTCATTTTGATCCATGATATTTCATGCAAGCAAAAGATAACTTTAATTGATTTTAAGCAATGAATGCATCCCAACACACAGTACAGGTTCAGTCAGTTTAACCATGCTAACCAATTTCAATCTGAATGGTAGCTTTTTTATTGATGGGAAACTCTCATCTCTTCTAATGTATCTCGCTTCTATCGAATCATTTTTCATGACAGGTTACTTGTGCATCGTTGTTGAAGTAATAGCACCAGGAGGCATTGTAATAAAAGTTGAAGATTTCATAATGGTTTCAGCGACATGCAGTTTGGAATCACTAATTCCTGTGATTCATGTAGAAGTTCCATTGTTGCAGACCAATTACATCAATATCAGTTGAAAGCCATGTAAATTCCGTTATGACAACAATCTTCTACGATGCCAGCTTTCTAAGATGTCAGTCTGCTACGATACCAGTCTTCTACGATGTTCATTAACACAATATGCCCCCCAGCTACACTGCACAAGTTATACAGCAATGATTTCAGGAACGTGAAGAATTCCCTGAATCTCAATTCTCTTGAGCACTTACTGGATATCTTGGATGAACAAATTCGCACAGGAAAATCTGCACTTTGGAACACCATACAGTTAAACAACCCACCGTTTAGCGACCTGGCACTAGATTTCTAAGAAACCTTCAGAGGTCTTATGTACTTGCACAGAAATTCCACTTAAAAAGCTTCATCTCAAGAACTGCTGCATTGTGGAATCGAATCCCGTGAGGATGCTTCCTCGATCACTAAAATCTTACCCTTTTTAAATCCAGTATCAACCATTATATGTCTAACATGTCATCATAATATGCACTTTTATCTACACCCACATCTGTACATCTTTACAACAACCTCATTTAGTAAGTCTTTGGGTTTTGTATTGGGTGAAAATAGCAAAAACAAGGCAGAAAAAGTCGATATTTGATCTGGTGAGTCTCCTGGTTACTCTTCTTGTTCTTGCTTATTAGTAATATTTCTAATTCTTGCACACCCAGTAACAGGGAGTGAACTCGATAAAAAAAACAAAAAAAAAACTGTTTTGCGGGCATAGGGAGATCTAACACATTATTGGGCGGGTCATGATAATATTTTGCTTCAACAGGTGTAAAAAGACATTTATTATAATAAAAAAAAATGTTCGATTATTAGACTATCAATGATTTCCTTAGGAATTGCTTTACTTTTCTGTTAAGAAAGTAAAGTAAGCAGACATAGACTTCGAAAGGTCCCAACAAGAGATGTGTAATTCTTAAAATAGATAATTGACCCTTGCTTTCTTATGATAGCTTTTGTCGTTGAGAGGTCTAAAGCCCATCAGTCTTGAAGGTAGTTTCCCCTCAATGTAATAGGAACGTAGTTTACATCTCTGTCGAAAAAGGACATTCTCATTAGTAAGAGTTTTGTTTGCTTAGTTAAAAAAAAATCAGGTATTAACTCAAACACCTCTATCCATTCAATATAATGCCTATAATAATGTTATTAAATATATGTATATCTTGCAAAAGGCCAACATTGTATATCAATTTAAATGTTCTTTAGGAGATTGTATCACTGATAAAATGTCAATAGGTACGTTGGCTTTGCTACGACGATGCTAACAAAAAACTTACATTTCATTTGGTTGAACATAGCTCAGTATACCATCACTTAAACGAACACGTATGCCCACACTCACAGATGAGACGGATATTAGTTGAAAATACATCTATATTATATAAAAACAATAAGAAGCAAAAACTAAAAATCCTTGAAGCCGTTAATATAAGAGAATTAAAGCCCAAAATAAATAGAGTCAACTATGAGTATAGCAACGAAGTCCTTAAATGCTTATGAAAAAAATATATACGTATAAGCAAAAACAAAAAGGTTACTTCCCTTATACTGGAACCCCCCCCCCAAACAACAACAAGTGGACTTTGAACTTTGAAATTTAGAACGTTGCATAAGCAGTAAAAAAAAAAAAAACGAACAGCTGAAATGTTTTAAATTCCCAGAAACACATATACATACTCACAGACAACTTAACTTCCCGAAGATGGTCTCAGATGAGATTGAAAGTATTTGGGAAAATAAAACTATTTGAAAGAAAATTTTGGTATTTTTCTTAATCAATTTTATAAGTCTACCAAAATTAATCCGCGAACTTGAAAGGATTACAATGAAGACTAATCGATATGCTATGTCTAAATTATTTAACCAAACCTGTTTGAATTAAAATATGCTGCCTAAATATAAACTAACTATATATATATATATATATATATATATATATATATATATATATATATATATAAATTCAAACTTCATTTTTTAGTGGATACTCGTGTTTGAGTAGGCTATCCTCTTATTTATTAAACAGTATATTTAATTATTTTCACCTACCGGCCTGAATGTTCGATAAATCTTATTAAAGAAAAATTTGCAACCTTCGGCAGGAATCGAGCCTGCCTCCCTCAGGGCAGAAAGAGATACCGTTTAACCCGGTGTGACTGACACATTACTGAGATTAAGCTTTCTATTAAACTTTTCTTGCATTTGCACATTTGTTTTCTTTACATAAAGTGTGTAAAAAATGTCTAAATATTCTGTATATCCGATCGCTTTCGGCTATTCTGTTAACCATTATCGATGGTTTTGTTTGTTAATTTTAAACTGAATATGTAGATTTTTATATATGTGTATCTATATGTGTAAAGGGAATTCTTTTCTATATTCCAAATACGATCAGCACGTTGTGGCCATGTTCATACTTGATATTATTGAGTGTTGGCTTTTACTTTTTTATTATTAATGCTTCCATTATTTTTAACCCTTTTTTTACACGTGGATGAGGTTATTATGGCCGTGTTTTCTATATTACGGACGAAATTCGGTAGGTTTCCGAGTGTATTTAAATGCGTTAGTTAATAACGATTTTCCAAACTACGTCATAGATCACCAACTAAAGAAAAGAAAAAAATCAACATTTTCTATAAAAATCAAATTAATTATAAGCAGGATGAATTTCTCCTTAGAAACACTATAAAGAAATACACAACCCCAGTCAACCAGGATAAGAAAATTAAATTATCTATTATAAAAAATTAAAACAGTTAACCTCATCGTCAGCAATAACAGCTCACCTGCAAGATCCAAATTATAGAAGACCAATATTATTTATGAATTTACATGACTCTTAAGAATTGCGTTCCTGATCAAACCAAATTCAATAATAATTATATCAGACACACCACTGCATGCTTATCAAGAAGACTCACGTTACATATCTCGGA